AAATTTTCCGCTCCTTAGGGGGGCGGCAGCTTCAAAAAGGTTGAGAATCACTGATCTAGATCAATCTTTCTACTTGAGTTTTCCAGATGGGTCTGAGAATTGTGTAAGTTTTAGTCTAAGATACCTGGAGAACCCAGCTTGGGTAGGCCTGGCCTAAATCCTTTGTCCTTCCAAGAACAGCGTCAAGATCTTTTTTCTGCTTTACCTAAACTCTGCACTTTTCCAGCTGGGCACTTTCCAGCTGGGCACCATAGTTACAGTGTTATGTCTGAAGGTTCCCCTTGCTACTCTCCTGAAGCACAAGGTGGTGTTTCCCCTCAGGAAGTGTACCAGCCTGACCAACAGACACTGCAACACAGAGAGCAACTGCGTCAGATCTTCCAGAGACAACAAGAAAAAGGAGGCATCATTGACCTTGAGCTGGAGAGAAATCGCTATTTTGTTAGCCTACAGAAGGTTAGTGGATCAGCAGAATAGAAAGAAAAAGGGTTATTAGAAAAGGGATGAAGGACCCAAATAGCAATTAAGATTAATTAATCCTCTTTGCAGGGAAGGAGGTGAAAGATCAGCTTTTACTTGGCTGACATGCTTTGTCTTAGAGCATAAGAGATGGCTTTGATATTTATATCTTGAGCGATTCTTTTTAGGGAATTGGTTAAGCCTGAAATATTAAAGTCGTTTTTTGATGGCTGTTATTGTCAAGAGCATGTTATAGCCTACTTGCAATGAGAGATTTATGACAGAATTAAGCTGGGGAATATGGATTTGGTGACACCAACATTTTAGCCGTTGCTGCATGATCTTTCTGGTTTGTGTATTTTGCCCTTTAATTTGTCCTCTTTCTTATCAGCCCTCTGATGTCAGGGAATATGACCATACAGCCGTCTCAGAAAATGACCTGGAAATTAAGAATGAGCTGAAGTCACCAGCAGGCTCAGAACATACTCAAAGAAGTACAACACTCATGAACAATGAGCTAAAAAATATACATAAATCATCTGTTACTTTGCATCACCATAACAAGAGAGAGAGAAGTCGGGGGGAGAAGCCATCTTTACAAAATCCTAGCTGGCAACGACATTGCAAGGCATTGGAGATGGCAACAGAAATGTATGTTGAGGGAGAATCTAAAGCCTTCAGTAGGAGACCTAACTGGAAGAAGGAAAGAGAGCGCTGGAGCTATGGGAGATATAATCAAGATATTTCAAAATCTTATAGCCAAAGCCAGGAGTCTTCATTCATGGATAAAAAAGATTTGTGCACCAAAGGTGTCCTGTCAGCCAAAGAAGAGAAAAACAACATGGGGAAGTGGATACCAGTGCAGAAAACTGAAGCCTCAAACAGAGAGAAAGTGGACATTTGCCATAGTGAGCTCAGAGGACAGAACAAATGGCAAGATCAGCATGGGATTCAGGACTGTGAGAGATGGGAAAAGACCAAAGGGAGAGAATATGTAACTCATCCCAAAATGTCAGGAGGTCGGGGGCAGTCCAAAGCCATGGAAAGAACTGCAGGGCCAAGAGACTGAGACTCCTAGCTGGTGGCAGTCAAGGCAAGGACACAGATAACTTTGTCATGTTGCCTTTCAGACATTGACTCTTCATTATTTTCGGGGGAAAAAAACAGAGCTGTCTTGGGAGTTTTCTCTAATGCACAGGCAGTCTTCGTCTTGCGGGATGGCATCAGCTTTGTGAAAAGTATGCTGTTTGTGAGGATTAGAATGCTGCGTAGGGACAAATATCTAACCTGAGAGAGCAATAAATGATAGTCAATTACAGTTCATAGTATATGGAGATATCTTCTAACAAAACGGAATGATTGCAGAGGTGGGGAGGTGAAATCCCTTAGTTGGAAAGGCCATTTGGGAAAATGCACTGTTAAACACTTTTAAAAATATTTTTTTGAAAAAAGAATGAAAAGGCATAGGTCTCACTCTTTATTGTCCAGGGATGTGGATCAGATTTGCCATATCACTTACTATGAACAGTCACTAATGCTAGACATGATAGCAAAAGTGTGCATTGTAGTCAGTATCAGCTTGGAAAATGTAGAATTAAGCTCCTCTCATATGTAAATGGTCCTCTGAACCACAGAAGGCTGCGGGTAGGCTGCATACTGGGATGTGGTTTTTTAGTGATCTGTTCACTACTCTCAGTACCAAATATGCCACTCTATAGAATGACCTTTAATTTATGATGTGATTAAACATTTGCTTTCCAGAGTTTTGAGATACTTACATTTCAAAAGAGAGGCTTACACTGAGCCCTTCAATTCCAGATGCCAGTGTGCCAGAACTATAAAAAGCTATGCAAACAGTGAGATGTTTTGTCTTCTGTCATTTTTGGCCCAAATTTGTTATACCCAATCTTGGGATGAGAGGATTGTATTCTACCACAGTAGTGGGGGGAGGGGGAAATGTGCATATGTTTTTGCTCACATACACATACATATGCATTATGTTAAATAATTCTCAGAAATCAAGACTTATCTTTATATTAACTTATACCAATGTATTTTTGGATCACCTAAACCCTATAATTTCTCCTGATAAAGTATAGGCTTGACTTAGGTTGACCTCTTAAATATATATTTGTATGCAAATACTGAGGGCAATATCCCCCCATTTGCTGAATTCCCACTTTGACATATGTTTATGATCATCACTACTTTAAAAAAAAAAAATCCCCATGGCTGCATGAGAGTACTTTTCAAGCTGTTTAATTCTTTAATGTCTGTATAAAGACATGTTGCCCTCTGACTATACAATGTTCCTATTCTTGGCCATAACAACTGGAGCAAGGATATGTACAGTAGAACTACTGAGGCCAAAATGAACTTCCAGATAGAAGTGTCTTAATGTTTTCATGCTGGAGGCTGAAAGATAATGTTCCTGACTGATGGTATGCACAGGCACAGTCCAGTTTGAGTGGCTTGTCTCATGAAAAGACTGAAATTAAGCTCAATTAGCGCCTCACCTGTAATGAAATTTGTGGCAATGTGAAGCAAAAATATGAGCATTAAAGCCAACCTGAATAAGCCAACCTATGAGTATTTTGCTGAGGAAGATAATAGTTGCTGCTGTACCACATCATAGACCAACCCCTTCATAATACTGCCTTTTAGTCTATTCTTATGGCTAGGTAAGAGTTACCCAGCTAGTTGTATCTTCCATTATGAATGGAAGTCTAATGTGGACACAGAAGTTCTGTATGCATGTGCTTTTGGTATATTATGCTAATCAGGAAGGAATGGCTTGCCTCATTCTGCAAAGCTTAAACTTTTTAATTATATTCAGTATAAAAAATAGCAATATATATATATTAACCTTGGTATTCTGAAGGCAGTCTTAACTTTATTTCTTACCTGTCCTTCAGTAAAATTCTCAGGGTAGCTTTTCTTAACTATTCATCCAGCAGCGGTGGTTAACGTTTCTTCCCACATTTTATTACTCCCCGTCAGATATCAGTTAAGAGCCAGAGTGAGCAAAGTGGTAATTTCTGCTATTTATATTCTGCTAATACCACTAAACTGTAGCTAAATTGCTAGACATCTCAAAGCATACATATAACAGTAACTTCAACTCTCATCATTAACTTATTTTTAAAACATAAGCAGAGCTTAATTTTTAAAAATATTTCCTCTTGAACTTATACTATAAGAACATGCTCTTTGTTATATATATTAAACCACTATAACCACTTTCCTGGGAATAAGTCCCATTAACTCAATGTTGATAGATGTGAATGCACTGAAGGACATGCTTTTAGGCATGCCTTGATTCGTAACAAAAATGTATCTCTTGATTTTTGTCTGCTGATGATTCTCCCTTTACCACTAAATTAAATGAGATCTAATTAAAACTTGTAAAGAACAATGAATGCTACTGGTTAAATAAAACAACAGCAGGAACTGAAATACTGAAAGTAAATGGTATAAAAAATAGGATCCAACAAGGTTGAGGACCCCTAAAATCTAGCTCAATTAAGTAAAAAAAAAAAAAAACTTCTGCAAGTAGCTTCTGTAGAGTAGTATATTGTTTATACTAGCCAGATTAAGAGTTGAGATATATTAGCATATGAATGTTACATTTAAGAAATTAGAAACTGAGTGGAAGAAAGTAATAGGACAATAGCTATGATTAAAGAGTATATTAATTGGGGAGATAGTAACTTTAATCATATAGAGAATGAAGATTGAACCCCAAACCAAATATATGAAGGAAGACAATGGGTTGAGGAAAGGAAGACCAAGATAGTTATGGTTGGATGGAATTGATGAGATTCTTAAAATGAGAAGAGGTGAAATATTTAAGGAAAAGGCAATGGATGAATCAGTATATGGATGTGGTGGAAACAAGGAGGTATGGCCTGATACTGTGAATAGTGTTGGTCTTGAATCTGCATCACACTAACCCTTTACCTGACCTGATTAAGTACAGCCATGAAAAATCAATGGGAATGTTACTAAATTCTTATGGGGATGGGGGACTTTGTTTTCATGCTAAAATGTGTTATCGCTTAGTATACTTTGTTAATACAGTAAACCATGGCTCAATTAACTTTGTGTTATTATATGCCAGATTTTAATTCTTGTCATGGAAGGAATATGGAAAATAGTTTCAGAGAAAAGTACCTTATTGGATTGGATCCCAGTAGCTACTAGATCAGAATCAGGTCCCTTCAGAATCAATTTTCATTGGCTGACTTGTCTCTTCTTTGAATTGTTATAACAGCACCATATAGAAATGATATACCCACTTTACAAAACCTAAACTAATCAAGTTCTCATGGCATCTTCCCCAAGGAATCTGCAGTTAGCACCACAATGAAGGCTTTAAACAAGAGAGGTTGAAGAATATGACCAAAGGATCACCAGATGGTGGAGAGGTACAGAAAATTCACTGCTGCCTCCTAGTTGTCATCTGGATTTTTGCAGCCCAATCTGGTAGCCTCATTAAAAATCTACACAAAAAATTACAATTTCCAGAACTTTGTAGGGCTATCATGCTTCACAAATTAGACTGAGTGTGCTAACGACGATGGTCTGGGAAAAAAAGTTCTGGTTCTTTAAGGGTTGAAAGTAAGAGTAGCAGGAGTCTTCCTTGGCTGCATGGTATTTGCAAGAATAGGCTGGAACAGTTACAGGCTCACTCTGTTCTCAATACAAAGTCAGTGGAAGTCCATAGATCAAAATAACAGATCCAGAGAAACAGAGAAATATGAGAAACAGGTTGTTCTATTTCAGTATCATATTCTATAAAAAGCATTTTATTAACCTCTAATGCTGGCAGGCAGTTTCCATCTCCTCAAAGCAAAATTAAAACCAATCCATCTATCTGCAGTATAGTCAACTGCCCACGCATACAGAGGTAGCCTATTACAGGCTTTGCTGCTCCCTCCACTGTAACCATTTTCTGAGCTTGGCAGGTCAAGACAGGATAGGTCTGGCTTTGGTGTAGGACAGAAGTTTTAGACTTTGTTCCCTTTCTGGAGGCTGTAAATTGCTTGAAGTTGGATGGCGTGCCCTAGAGCCATCAATTCTGAAGGACCGAGTGCCTCCTCAGTATATTACTATAGCAGTTACTGTGACACAGACTCGTCTGGAGAGGGGAAGATGGCTCCTCTGAATAGGGAATTACAGTAGGGAAAAGTCCTTCAATCTGAACTCCATGTTCGATTTATTTTAAGAGATGTGCAAGATGAGATTGTTTTATTCTTTATTTTTTTGACAAAAAGGACCACCTCACTGAGGCAGATATATTAAGAGCATCACCCTTAGTTACTGTGTGCTGTGTGAACAGCCCACGCAATTACTTTCAACATTTTCTCAGTGTTTGTTCAGAATCAAGATAAAAGCATCTGCACATTCTGAATGGCTTCATTTGGATCTGCTTTGTGTAACATGAAATGACCTTGCACTTGTGCAGCACTGATTTGATCAGAGACAGAAAGGGCTCGTTTAGCAAATTGCTCAGCTACAGCAGCTGGCTGGTCTGGATAGAATCTCTGGAACATCTGTTTGAATTGCCACTGTGAACAATGCCCAATGTACTGTTTGAGGTCTACCCGGCCTGGCCGAATCAGGGCTGGATCCAGCCTGCAGGAAGTGAAAGAGTAACAAAGTAGCTCAGTAAAAGTTTAACCTTGCAAATACACCTTCCCTCTTTACACATAAGCCCGACATGCTGTTATTTCTAAAATTCCAAAAGGAACAAAGCTAAAAAAAAAACCCCCTTCTCTTAAAATAGAACCTCTGTTTTATTTTATCTGTAATGTATCATTGGCCACCACATTCAGATAAAATACAAATTTGGTGGCCAGTGAATATAGTAATACCAATAGAGGTCCCATTTTAATTAGTAATTCTTTTAGTTCTTCCTCAACTAATCCAAACTAAAGGGTCCTGCACAGAATGAGGCAGAACTATCTCTAAGGTATGTAGGACACAAAGTAATATTTTAAATAATTGTGCCCATACCCACTTCACACAGGATACTTATGCAATGCTTCACATTCAATTCTGATTCATTAAAGCAGCTGCATCCATTTCCATAGCAGCTGCACATTCTCAGAATCAGTCATAGCTATTTTAATGAGTCACTGACAGGTGTTGTGTTTGCACTCCCACACACTTTGAAACTCCTTTTCAGAATCATATCTGAAGCTTTTACAGCCTACTACTACTAGTCACATTGCTCCTCCTCCTCCTCCTCCATCACATACCTTGAAGTCACCTACCTCCTTGCCATAGTCCCAAAAGCCAACATGGAGCCAGGAATGGTAACAGGGCCAAAGCCACAAGTACATCTTGCAGGTTCAATGTTGCAAATGTTTAAAATCATGATGACCAAGGAAGGCTGAACTCCCTTAATGACAATGCCATTCCCAACACATTTCTCAGACCATAGCACCAATGCACAAGCATAATCCCAGCCTTGACTGAATTCAGTGTCAACTGACTTGACCTTACGTGGCACCTCAGCCTTCTTACTCCATAACACTTGACCTATGGATCCTTTCTTAGCAGGCTATATGGCTAGCACTGCCCCATGCTTGGGAAGAAAGGCTGAAAATTACTCAGGTGAGACTTCTGGGACACTTCACAAATATTTTGCTTCTTTTCAGCTTGTTCCTAGTTCTTATGGGGTGGGAAGTATGAGATTTATTCTTTGTAAAATGGTTGCCATTCCTACTTTCTTTCTCCCACTACAGAAGCAAAAACTGCATTTATATTTCCCATAAGGAATAAGATTCAACTTGTTCCTCAATATTCTTGTTGTCTTCAAAGTATCCAAGAAGGTAAAGAGATGGCTTTGTGCAGGCTTGCTATTATCCAGTATTCTTTTTTATCCACGTAGATCCCTTCCTTCTTCAAAGAGACTTATTCCCTTCCCCTCCCATATACACTGATAGGCTGGGTTCACGTAACTTGCTAAAGTCTAAACCCAGATTAAGAAAAAAACCAAATTTGTTGCATTCATGCAACATGCCATACCTATTTTGGTTCATCGTGATAACTTGGTTCTCCCAAAGCAGCTAATACAATGGCTAGGTTTCCCAAAAAACCTGAATAACAATACCATCCCTGTTGGTAGTAAAGCCTACTGCGCAAACCTAGTGATACAGTCACACTGTATACCATATTGTTGTGTAGTCTGTGTGAAAACTATGGGAGATCCAAGCCTTTTGAAATGAGGGGCTAGACTACCTCTGGAGTTTACAAACTAGTTTCCCCTCAATTCCTGGATTATATAGTTGGTTGATTGATGGATTAGAATAGTTATTTGTTTCTTCTTTCTCTGACTTGTCCCAGCTATTTTCGTAACAAAACAATGCCCAGCTGTTGTTGTACTGTCTGTCAACACTTGCCTTAGGAGAGTTTATACCTTTTCCTAAGTGCTGAATGCGTCACTTGAACAAGAGGGAGCACTGTGAGCTTTTCTTAATGATATATTTGTACACTGCATGAGATATAGTGGGATGGGTTGATTAATGTCATCAGATCACTAGAGCTACCACTGCATGCTGATTGGTGTTTCAGTGTGCAACTGATACGGGGTATCACTGGGATCAATACTGTGACTGAAAAGTGGCAAAGAAATTGGAACTAACTCTGAGAATGGCAGCTGCTGTTGTTTGTCCTTTGTTTCCTATTCTGTGATTTTGATTTAGCAGCTACAGCAAAAAAATGCTAACCAGTGTATGTCATTGATACCAGCAACCATTCTTAGTTAGCCCATATGAGGGTTCTCTTAAGTCAAAACATTGCCTAAAGTTAACAGCTTCCACCCATCCCACTTTTTGTGCAACAGTTCTAACCTGTCCACATAATTGGTAGTCATAAATACTAGTCTGGCTTCAGAAGAAGCTACGCCATCCAACGCATTGAGAAGGCCACTGAAAGTCAGGCGCCCCATGCCTTGATATGCAACAGGATCTGAAGAGAAACAGCAGCAGAAAATGATTCAGAAATATGGAACAAAAGAAAATTAACAGTATGAATAAAGACATAAGTAAACATGCTCAAACTCTGCCTGTGTGTAGCTGCTTCACTGAACCAATTGGATGTACAGCTCCCATAATTCCTATTCCCACCACTTGCTACCACTGAGAGAGAAAAAGATAAGAAATTTTTTTTTTTTCTTACAAGGGCTGCATTCTTTCAAAGGTAACTGATTTAAGAATTTTCAGGCTACCAGTGGATGGAGTTGAAGGGTTATAAATCTGATACTAACCAAGGCCAGCAAACTATTCCCTTTCTTCTCCCTCTTTGCTATTGCAGATTACTTTTCCAATTAAAGCTAAAGGTTTCTTTAAACTTTAATCTAGGGGTAGGCAGGAGTATGACCTGCAGCCCAATTTCTGATTTTGTAGCCCTTGAGTCATCTTCTAATCATGGCTGCAGAAAACTGATGGCATCATTTTCCAACCATGCCAGAGGAATGTATTTCATTGGAACACATACAAAAATTAGGATTTCTTAAACTATACATATCACTATAAAAAGAAAAAGAAATTCCTCCCTGAAATCCCAAGCTTACACAGCTATGTGGTATTACCCTAGCCACTTTGCAGCCCTCAGCCCTGGAAAAAAATGCTAAACGCAGCCCTTGGCCATGAAAAGGTGGCTTACTCCAGGACCTAAAGAAAAGCTGCTCCAAAGAGGCATTTCAGATGACATCTCCATGGTGCAGTGATTCTGTGACATGTTCAAAGTTAGGCTCCAGCTGGAATGAAGGAATAAGACAGTTGGGAATACGGAGCAAAAAAGAGCCATGTGCCTCTCACTCACTCTCAGCAGCAAGGTCCCGACTGACAAAGGCAGCGTCCACATCTTCCAAGAGAATGATGCTCTGTTGTGGAGCTACACTCATCAGATGGTTGAGGCGATCATCTGAGAGACTTCGATCACTCAGGCTCAGAAGACAGATGCTGTATTGCAATTCTCCAGCCAGGGCTGTGCTGTAATAGGCAGGATTGTCATTACAGAACATAAACACAAGAAAAAAGAGTTTGAAGAGAGGAACTAGGAGGAGAGTTCAGCTCCTGCATGTTCCTCTCAGAATTAAAACACCTCTGCTCGAGATCTATGTAAATAGAGTTCTGTGTTTACACACTTGGAACCACCACTGTAACATTTCAATTAGCCCCAACTGTTATTGAGTAAAAAGGTTCAGAGTAACTATATACTACCTAAATTAACATAATCAAGTGGCACTTTAAATCTTAAGAAAATCTATTGTAGCTAAAGTTTGTTTAGAATCAGATGCCCTGAGAATTATATTCCCTTTTCCTGCAACATCAAAGGTCCATGACTTCTTGCTTTCTTGACAAGTCTAAACTATATTCTCTCTAGCATGGCTTTGATCACCACTTCCAAGAAGAGATACTCTCAAGTCTACAGGTTAATCCATTTGGAGCAGTTAAAAACAGCTAATTCTAACTGTGCAATAGAATGAACCAAGCACTTTTTTGATCCAGCTGTTCACTGACACAATTTGACATAACTCAACTTAGAGGGGAAGAGGCGATCAATATCTAAAATGCATGAACAATTCCGCCCAAAACATCCCAAACTGTGGGGAAAGGGAGATGCTAGATTAGCAAGCCTATCACTCAACTCCCTACTGAAACTTAGAACTATTTCTAAGTCCACAAAAGCATATTTATCACAGCACTTTTATGCCCTGCATTTGTGAAACTTACTTCCTAATACAATACAGGTGACTGCCATTAATCTTGGCTTTTAAGAGGGTCTTAAAACAGTTCTGTTCCAATTGGTCTATACTGTAATGTTTAATTATTCATTTTAAAACATTAACCCTTTTGCCCAAATGACAATTTAATTCCATTCAAACACAAGTTTTTATCACTTTGAGATGTCTTAGAAACAAATGAAATCCCTTCCAGTTACACACTGGCATACAATATTCTCAAGCACCCCTAAATTAGGATGGGGGAGAAGGGACACTTTTGGGGAACAGGCTCATTGGGAAGAATACAGAGGACCCACACTCACATGAAACTGCTCTTGCCACAACCTGGGGGGCCATACAGTAGGTATCCTCTCCGATAAGGTATTCCTGTGGAGAAAAGGACTAATTAGAAGACACCATTCAGTTATCCAGCTTCCTACTATATCTGAGTTCTAACCACCATGCACTAGAAGTATGTAAGGATTCTTTTACTACCTCCAAACAAGGAATCAATTTTCTGATGATTATCAGCTCCAGATGTAGTGAAAAAGCTGCACAAGAGTACTGCATTATATTTGAGTGAAGCTCATTCATTCCTATCCTCTCTTACAGTTTTAAGATTTAGGCTTATTCTGGGTGAAATTATATATAACTTTATTAAAAGACTGATTTATTCTTTGCCAGAAATTTGGTGGAAGCTGGCAATCTATAAACAATTGGCCATGCAAAAACTAATCTGAACAAGCTCTGTGATGTAAAATTAAGGAAGGACAGACTTTGAGAGTTCCCAATTCCTAAAATCACACATGGTAAATTACCAAAAGTTTTTTTTTAAATTTGATGGACAGTGTAAAGCTTGTTAATGTGTAGAGACATAAAAATGGCAATTCAAGAAAATATACTTATTTTTCTGAAAAATATAGATCTTTTTTGAGAATAGACATGATCTGGATTTTAAAGGATTTGACTACTAAGGTTCATAAAGTAGAGATATTACCAAAGACCTTTTCAGATCATAATCCAGTGAGTTTGGTTTTTAAATGGAAACCCAGTTCTTTCAGATGGCGGTTAAATGAAATGCTGTTACAGAAAAAAGCAATAGTGGAAGACTGTAAAAAGAAATTAAGAGGTTTTTTTTAAAAATAATCTTAATAAAGGTATAGATTAAGAATGGTTTGGGACGCAAGTAAAGCTTTCATGAGAGGTTACTTTATACAACATAATAGTGAACTCAAAAACAAGAGGCAAGAGAAAACACAAGCTATTTTGGATGAGATAAAAAGAAAAGAAGAGGAATTAAAGAAGTTTGCAGAGAAGACAAGTATTTCTCAACAAATTAAGCTTCTACAATGACAATTATTTATGTTAACAGTAAGAGAAATCGAAATAAAAATGAATTATGTAAAACAATTTTTTTTGAGTTTGCAAATAAACCAGGGAAGTGGTTGGCATACAAATTACAAAAAGAAAAAGAAAAGAAAATGATATTGAAATTACAAGAGGGAGATATTGTAATAATAGATAATATGGCTATGCAAAAAGTATTTCATCAATGTTATTCCAATTCATATAAAGAACAAGAAATTTCCATGGAGAAAATAGATAAACATTTAAAGAAGCAACATTTACCGAAGATTACAGAGGAACAGAAACAGATTATGAATGGACCCATAACAATAAGGGAAGTTTGTGAAGTTATAAAAAAGACTAAAACAGGAAAGGTGCCTGGATTAGATGGGTTACTGGTTTCTTACTATAAATGCTTTGAGGATGAACTTTTACAATGTTTACAAAATACAATGAATTCTATTTTACAGAGGGAAGGATGCCAGAGAGCTGGAAAGAGGCTAATATAGCATTAATACCTAAGGAGGGACAAGATTTGACTTTAAGAAGAAACTATTGGCCGATGTCATTATTGAATAATGACTAAGTTGTTTACGATTTTGGCTGAGAGGTTGAAAATAATTTTGCAAGAATTTATTCTTGAGGATCAATGTGGGTTTTGACCTAAAAGACAGTTAAAGGATAATATAAGAAATGTGTTGGACATTTTGGAATACTTGGAACAACAGAATGAAATGCAAGCTGGATTGATTTTCTTAGACGCAGAGAAGGCCTTTGACAGTTTAAACTGGGACTTCCTGTTTAAAGTTTTGGAAGATATGGACTTGGGAGATAATTTTATTAAATGGATAAGATTGATTTACACTTCACAGAAAGCACAAATGATTGTCAATTGAAATCTAACAAAACCCTGTGAGATACAAAAAGGGACAAGATAGGGATGCCCATTGTCTCCTCTCCTGTTTACTTTAGTTCTTGAAATATCGAATAAAGATATAAGACAAGATGAGAAAATATGCTAGCTCTGTATCTGGCATCAAATACATCCTGATTTATCTATAAAGGAGAAAGTTAGTGTGATGACATCTGTCAGCCTCTGAAATGCACTCACCTCGATCAATGTACCACTTGGGGTTATCAATGAACTCTTTCACATCTTGCACAATCCTTTCTGATATTCCTTTGTCAAGCACCACAGATGTGAGTGGGCGTTGTCGGCGTGGGAAGCCAAATGGCCGCCATTCAGCAGCCATTGCTGTATACATTACTGTTTTTCCTTCTTGCTGTCTCAGAGCCAATTCCCTGGCTGAAGAGAAGGTGAAACATGGGTTATGTAGAATATTTGGACAGAAATGGGAAGGAGGATGGGACAAAGCAGAAAAATCCATCCCTTAGAAACAACAAGGATACAGAAATGCCAAATAAGAGAGATTGTCTGTTTGGACACAATGCCCAAGACTGTTTGGTTTGGGACTTTGCTGTGAGCAATACTACATTCAGGGATACTATGGTTTAGGTGTGCTAACATACCTTCTTGCAGGATGTTGAAGAAAATCTCTCGCTTGTTGCCAACTGCTGTAAATGTGACAGACTCCCAAGGAGTGCCTGTATGGAGATCAATCATTTGTTTCTCTCGGTTCCGTTCTATACGGATCCACTTCCTTTGATACCTGAAAGCAGAACAGGGAGCATCTCAGTAGGACCACCTTTTCTGGACTTCCACATCCTATGACAGCCTTCTCCATGCCTGTTGATCATTAGTCTGTAATCAAACAAGTGTTAACCCAGGTTTTATTTGTGTTAAATTATGGCCAAACAAAAAAGGCAACGGCACAGATAATAGCACAAAGAAATCTCTTTCATGACTACCTTCTCTCCCAACTTACAAGCTTAAGAAATTCTCCTTATACAAGGATATTTGGGTTTTGTTTTTTTGCCGGAATTATGCAAATTTCCATTTTTTGCTATTTACCCATGCCATATAGCTCATGTTTCTCAGGGCTTCCTCCAACCTCCAAGAAAAAAGGAGGAAAAAGGAAAGAGAAATGTTTGTTCTGTGAGTTTCCTTCTGCTCATGTAGCAACACAGTCTAGAGTACTGCAGTGATAGGAGTAAGGAAAAGGTTATTACCTATTGGCAATGAGCTTCTACTTACTTAAAACTTCTCTATTCCATTGTCTGAAAAGCTCAACATATTTAGAAATAAAACTATCTGGATATAATACAAAGAACTAAGGAGTACAAAAAGAGACTTAGTTATTAAAACAGTCAAACAGCATTTCAAAAGATTTCACAAAATCTCAACTTACCTAACAGACTGATTTGTATCATGGGTTGGGGGACTAAAAAACAGGGCTAATTGTATGCTTGTTTGCTGGAGAGTAAACCAAATAAGCTTACAAAAAATGTCAGCACTTAGCTGACATTAGCTGATCTTGAAAAGCTAAGCAAGGTTGAACCTGATTAATACTTAGATAAATCAATAGGAAATCCTAAGGCTATAAAATAGACTGGAAATGAAATAATAATAATGAAAAAAAAAACCCACTGTGGAGTAAGGCAATGGCATTATTGCTAAGAAAATTGCATGGATGTGTCCATGAAGTCACAAGGAGTCAAGCTCAACTCAAGGGAGACTTTATCTTACCTTAAAATCCTAGAGTTCAATGGGATTTACTCTTAAATATGGAGGCATGAGAGTACAGTGTAACAGTATGATGTTTCAAAAATAAGACAGCTGCTGAAACAAAGAGGTGGGGACACTCTTGGAAATCACTGGCATAGTAACTATCCTTTGAGATTCGGCACAATACAGAATTTGTTCTGAGTGCACACTCATAAATATGCACTCTATTTCTCCTGTACATGCATTTTTTGTTGCTGGTATTCTTGATCTTTGACTATTTTGCAATTTTAGAAACTGAAGACCAGGATGTAGACATTTAAATTTACTTTCTTCTGTTAGTTGTGCACTGTAAGCTTCTGCTTATTGCCACACAAGCATTTGGAGCTATTGCAAAGCATATCTATTCATGTTCAAATCTTCCCACTACTTCCAGCCTGGAGATACTTCACAGTCCTCCTTACCAAATGAAATGATTCCCAGGGCTGGGAATAAAATCAAATTTTGTACTGACACGGCCACTCTCATGTTGCAGGTAAGAAGTCTCCACACTCAGGTGCTGGGTGTGCTTAGCATGGTGAGATATCCAGTTCAGCAGCCAGTGGTAGCTCTTGTCTCTGCTTGGCACTTCCAGAGTGATCATATAATGCCGTTTGAAAACCACCATGCCAAACTGGGCCCCCTTACGTGCCAGGGCCAAGGCTGTGCCTACACCAACTAGACCAAAGCCTGCCCCAAAATATGGATTGTCCTTTAGGGCCAAGACAAAGTCAGAAAAAGGCATTGTGTGTGGGATGAGCAAATAATGCCAGGATTAAATAACCACTCCGTGTGGCATTTCTTTCAAAGCCTAAAAAATGAAGGAGAAAGGAGTCAAAATCATGAACGGTTACTGACAAACTCCCAGACATGAGTAGCTTGCATCAAATACACTGGACTTTTTGCATTGTCAAGATGGCAGACGGCTATCAGGCTAGTATTACACGCCATTCATTTTTAATATAATGTAGGCGCTTGGCAAACTAAACTCAGATCTCAAACGGAACTTGGTCTCTACTCGCCTATACAGAACAGAGCCGTAGAGGTTCCCGAAACTGTCCTTAAAATAAAGGTGGGGAGAATCTCTTTAGTTTCAAGCTTAAAAAGTGGTTTGCCTATCTTTTCCTCTCTCTCCAGATCTAACGGAGAAGCTGGAGACAGATGCAGCCTCACGCAGAGGCAAGGAACGAGAAAGCTCTCCTACCTCATACTGCTATCCGTCATACAAACGGGAACTTAAAAAAAGAAGAAAAACCTCACTTTCCACGCTACCGCATATACTAATGGAGACACAGGAAGACAAGCTCCCCCCACTTTCCCTTCCTTGAGCGACCTTCCCCTCTTCCAGTCAGCGCCGCTCTCTTCTATGGTTCTCCGCCTGATCGGAAGAGGTTGCTTTTCATCATCTTGTTCCCCTAGAGATAGTTTAGTGGCATAAGGATTGCTCAACCTCAGCGACTAGAGTAAAAATGGAAAGCAGCCATTTATTGCCTCTCAACTTTTATAGACGCAGTGGAACGGCTTTAGAGCCCCCAAGTACTTTACAATAGACATGAGAGTGGAAAGTAGCAATTCTTTATGAGAAATGACTAGGATGGGTGACTCTAATTTTCCTATCTCTATCTTCATTCTCCGCCGCAGAACCGAAGGTTGGCATTTCCGAGGACACCTACTTGCTATGCAATCATTCTACATTCTGTGGTTCCTGAGGTAGCGTTAGGTTCCTGGGTTGCTACATGAATATTCGCCGCAGGAGTCTGAATATCAAGATTTTGACTTGTGAGAAGACGAGAAACCCTTCTCCTATTTTGTTTTAAAGCACTGACCGCGCAGCAATGATCGGAAGACACTCTACCCTTTCCGTCTATGGTGCCGCCTCCGATCCCCGAATGTCGAAGCCGTCCGTCAAAGATAACCATAGAGTTGCTCGGGGAGAGAGCGGACGAGGCAGCACAAAGAGGGAGGGGGGAGAGAGGCAAGAGAGGAAAACATGGAGTTCTTTCTTACCGGTGCGGAGAAGAGGGAATCGTTGACATGGTGCCTGGAGTGAGGAGGCCGGCAGTGCAAGAGGTGAGGAGGAGAGAGGCGAGAGGAAGCGCGAGTCAGGACAAGGTTTTTTGTCGAGGGGCGGCAGTGGGGCTACCCTGGGGCGGAGGGAGAAATGGGGAGCCAGAAAGGCAAAGGACGTGCTTCTAGGAGCAAATTGGCTTTTTCGGGTGGGGGGAGAAGAGGCGGGCCTCTGCGCTGCTCTCGGGGATCACTTATGCTTAAGGAGCTTTTGAACGTGGGTACTGCAATAGGGGCTCTGCGGTGAGAGGTCTGGAAAGGAGCGGGCCCCGGATCAAGCTGAGCCTCGTTACTACTACTGTATAGAACTGGCTACTTGTCATCCCGACCGAGAAGACGCTGTCATCAAATTGGTGGTTTCTGTATCCTTTTCCTTGCACTTCAGAGACTGATAAGAATGGTTCATGCCTGGCATACAGAATCCAGAAGGTTGCAGAAGAAGCCCACAAGGAGAAGAAGGCAAAACTGGGTGTGTGAGTTAATCTTCTTCCTTTAACTTCTTTGCCTAGTCAGATGGCTACATTCTTAATCATTGTATTGCTGTTTTTTATAATAATGATAATAATAATAATAATAATAATAATAATATAATAATAATATATTAAACTTGTATGCCACCCACTCTCAACGACTCAGTGGCTTGAAAGCATATAGAAGATACATCATGGAGGAATCCTGTGTCCAGGAAATAGAAGTATAGGATAATGTACAGTGAAGTAATATACGGTATATATAATGTACAGTTTGGACAGAACTTGGTGAAACAGATTGGCTCCAGGTTGGCAAAGAAGTGCGACGAGGCTGTATGCTTTCCTCTTATTTATTCAATCTACATGCTGAATATATATTAAGGGAAGCTGGATTGGAAGAACATGAGTATAGTTTTAAAATTGGAGGAAAGAAACATCAATAACCTGCACTATGATGCTCTCCTGATAGCTGAAAGTGCAAAGGATCTGCAAGCTCTAGTAATAAAAGTCAAGGAGCAAGATGAAAAAAATGGGACTAAAATTAAATATAAAGAAGACCAAATTAATGACAACAGGTAGAACAACCAGCCTTAGAATTGACAATTAAGATATCAAAGTGGTGGATAGTTTCTGCCTTTTAGGATCAACCAAGGAACAGTCAGTCAAAAATACATTGCAGATTAGCACTTGGTAGAGCAGCCATGAAGGCCTTGGAAAAGATATTCAAATGCAGTGATGTGTCTACACCAACAAGATCAGAATCATGCAAGCCATGATATTCCCTGTGATACTCTATGGAAGCGAAAGTTGGGTTTTGAAGAAGCAGGATAAGAAGAGTATTGACGCTTTTGAACTTTGGTGTTGGAGAAGACACCTGAGAATTCCATGGACGCCAAGAAAACAAACCAGTGGATCTTCGAACAAATCAGCCCAGGATTCTTACTCAAAGCACAAATGACCAGGCTCAAATTATTTGATTTTGGACACATTATGCAGAGACCCACCTCTCTGGAAAACACTTTAATTCTGGGAAAGGTAGAAGGAGAGAGAAAAAGTGCACAACTAGCAGCAAGGTGGATGGACTCAGTTACAATGGCGACGAGTGCACTGTTGGAAGAGCTGAAAGACCAGGTTAGGGACAGATCATCATGGAGAAAATCTGTCTATGTGGTCACTAGGTGTCAACAATGATTTGACATAATCATAATCACAGTGAAATATTCTCATGGCAGAAGTTGCAGTGCATGTAACTATAAACAGCGCCCTTCATTTTTCCTGATAGAATTATTTATTCTTTGCAGATATATGTGACACTTTCATACCTTAGCCAGCAATTACTAAGATTTATTTGGTCTGGAGCCTGTTCTTTAAACGATCTTGTGCGTGACTAAATCTCTCAGCCTTTCTGTAACATCAAGTACAGTATAGATTAATTTCTGAGAGTGCAGATCAAAAATATTAAATACCTTCTGCTGGCTTTTCCATTGCATCTGTAGCCTATGGAATTACTTAAGAGCAGTCTTTCAGTTAAATACACGTATAAATCCTGATATGATTTCTATACTGGAAAGTAGCCCTTCATCCATAATATAATTAACTGTCTGAACCAGGCAGATCGGGAATGGCTATGGTTGAGTAATTTATATTTATGTTTATGTTATTTTGACCAAGACTACTGAATGTTAGGCTTTAGGAAAATAAATAATTCTGTAAGATATAATTCTAAATGATTCAAGTAATGGGGTTTATTAGGATTGTGAGATGGATAGATGCATGCACACACACATGCATATAAGAGGCCTTTAAAAAGATAGTAATATGCTATCTGCTAAAGTGAAAAAAGAGCAAGTGAAACTCTGCATAGTCTCAAGATTAAAATTGAAAATGTATGTATAATAAACCTATCTTGGAGTGAGCTTTCTCAGCTCAGGTTAGTTTGACTGTATTAGCATGCCAATTGGTAAATCAGACTTCACATATCACACTGTTTGTTTAATTATGGTTGGTTGGAAAAATCAGAATTGACTTATCTTACACAAAACAGTATGTCATAAATTACGATGTACAAGCTGCAACAACTGAATTCTCATGCAAAATACTAAGCTAGAATCAAACAAACCATATTGTAACTTAATATGTAATATAAATCAAGTTACTATATCAAATAATATATTTTATCTGAATCCATCAACAATCTGCATTAATATACCAGGGTATTCCAGCTCTAATTTGGAAATATTGGTAGAAGAAGTTTTAACCCTTCCTATTTCATCCTGACTTCATAGGATTAAAACATTATCTTTCAATTTCTTTTTCAAATCCTTTATAATCCTTGTTTGCCCCAATTTAGAATCCTACTTAGTTAAAGTTAAAATATTCCAATGGAAACCCTTATGGGTGTAAGTTCAGGTTTCACTTATTTCAGAGTTTTGAAAATCATTGTATTTGTATTTACAGAACTATAATATTTCCTCTTTTATTCAGTTCTCCAGAAGATTAAAGTACTGAATGATTTCATATCCTGAATTTAACACTACCCTACTGCATTTTCTTCTAGACAGGTATGGCTACCAGCAATATTGGGCAATAATAGTTGCTAACAATTTATTTCTTTATTACAATTACAGGTAACTCTCGCTTAACAACCCAATAGGGACCAGGAAATTAGTTGTTAAGCAGGGTAGTTGTTAAGCAGGTCACCATGTGACTGAACCCAATTTTAAGACCATTTTTATGTTGGTTGTTAAGTGAATCATGTGGCCATTAAGCGAATCCAGCTTCCCCAGTGGACTTTTTTGCCAGAATTCGCTTAATGACCAAAGTGATTTGCTTAACAACTATTGTAAAAAAGGTTGCAAATCACAATCATGTAACCACAGGGGGGGGGGGTTGTGATGGTTGTAAATGCAAGTACAGGTTGTAAAGCACTTTTTCTGAGGCTGTCATAACTTTGAACTGTTGTTAAATGGTCATTAAGTGAGGACTACCTGTATTCATGTTCCGCCAATCCTTTCAAAGTGTTTAGAATATACACACACACACACACACACACACACACACACATACAGTGGTACCTCGGGTTACGAACGCCTCTGTTAACGAACTTTTTGGGTTACAG